CATGCAACTTTTGATTGCCTATTTAAGTAGTCTGCCCTAGGTTCCACACTAGTTGCCGTACCTGTAACCCAACTAGGGGGTTACCCATATAAACCCTCTGGCTTTTCCTCTTTTGTAACCCGCCCATTGCCAAATATTTTAATATAACCATTTATTCAATTATAAATACTTTGATTGGTTATAATAAAGAAAATGGCGGTGTGTTAGGTTTCATAAAAAATTACTATAGTGTTGTTGAATATCAAGATCATGGTACTCCTCATTGCTACCTGTTGATTTGGCTTCATGGCGCACCTGACCCAATAATGTTGTATAATAAAATTAAAGATGACATTGGATTTCACGAGCGTTTACTAAATTATGTCAGTAATATTATTCAGGAAGATATTAGCTATCTGCTTAAGGAAGATGAAGTTTTAACAGATGAAATGCTTAAGGCTAAGTACTCTGCTCCAAAAACGATCTTTGAAAAATGATTACATCCCTCTTTTCAACCTATACTGGACTCTAGATCATCTGATTTTGAAGAGAAATTCTGTCTAAACTTACTTACTCTTACCAAACTTACACTCTATCATTGCTGTAGTCGGACATGCAAAAAATACAATCGTGGCTTACAAAAATGCTGCAGGTTCGATTTTCTGAGAGAACTTGTAGATCCTCCTAGAATGATTTTTCCTGATCAAGGCATTATTGCAATTCAACGCACTAATTCTCTTATCAATAATCACAACCTGTACATAACTGCTGCCTGCCATGGAAACAATAATATTAAATTTATTGCTACTCGTAAATTGGCCTTAGCATACATCTACTATATTACTGATTATATAACTAAATCAGATCTGAGTACACATAGTTCTTTTTTAATATGTGCTCTATTTTAGAAAATTTTTTAACACAAGCATCTAACAAAAGCTCTATTGATATTGTAAATAATTCCTACAGACTTATAACTAAATGCCTTAACAAAATAGTGGGTCAATCAGAACTTACAAGCCCACAAGTTTCGGCATATCTGTTAAGTATTCCTAACCATTACACACCAAACAAATTTGCATCAATATATCTTCAATCCTTAGAATTCTATCTTACAAAAGAATATAAAGAACATTACCAAACCTTTACTAAAGGTTTTGATGAATCTGATGATGATTTTAATGATGATTCAGATACTGATAATATCCAAAATACCCCAAATCTATTAAACGAGTCATTCTTGGTTACATTCTGTAATAATAAATTAACTGCCGTAAATCTTCATGTCAATTATCAGTTTAGAGGCTCAATGCTACATAATATCTGCCTATATGATTATGCTGCATGCATTTAAAAGGCCCCAATAAACTCACATGAACTTTTAATGTTATCAGGTCAGCATCCTAAGGAAGAAAATGAACGATTTTATTTTCAAGGATACAAAATAAATGATAACCTTGATTTTGAATCTATTAATATGCATCCTCAGAATAAAACTCATATTCAAATTCGTAGAAGACGAGATACTGAAAGAATAGTTGTATTGTGTAGTAAAGGCATACCTAAGAAGGATGATGTAGAAAATACTGAATTATATAGGTTAAACATCCTTATGTTGTTTAAACTATGAAAAACAGTTCAAGATCTTCGTGAAAACTATAACACATGTTCTGAAGCATGCCAAGCATTTTTAGATAGCTCTACTTTATCTTCTCGTATAAGGTATATAATTTCAAATATTAAATTATTACACAGGTATGCAGAAGAAACATTTTTAGATTATGAATTAAGAAAAAGTGCATTGAGTAATCCGATTCTTGCTAAAGCTTGCCGAATTGATCATTCATCTCCTGGATATAATGTAGAAGATCTAACTGATCTTTTTGATGATAATGACAATGAACAGAATATTGTTAATGCTTCTAATGATATAGTAACCTTTAATCTAGCTGCTATTATTAGGTCTGGTCTAAAAGACGTCAGAATAGTTGATACTGCTATAAACATTTTACGAATTCGTGAAAGATTTCTTACAAAAAACTACACAAATTCGACAGGGTTAAATGATTCAATCAATATTAATAATCTTGACCCAAATGTTATATGCTCAAGCGATAGTAATGATGATAATCTTTTGAAAATGTGGCAAAATACTATAACTTCGCGCAAAACAACTTTCCGTCATAACAATATTCCTATCTTTGAAAATGAGCCTCTACTAAATACCTTTGTTGCTTTATCAAATAATCATAATACTCCTCTGAACTTTACTATATTGGATAAAACTATAGATCCATTAGAAAGGTTTGCATATGGTTTAAATGCAGAGCAAAAAAAAGCTTATTTCCTCATATGTGATCATTATCGAAGAAATCAGCCAACAAGTAAATATAGACTCACAATTATTACTTTACTTTGCTGGTACTGGTGGAACTGGCAAATCTAGAGTAATTTATGCAATTTGTTCATATTTTGAACACATTTTACAATGCCATACCCTTCTTATATTAGCCCCTACTGGTATTGCTGCTACTAATGTTTATGGTAGTACTATTCATTCTGCATGTGGATTTGGCTTTGGCGAAAATAGTAAAAAACTATCTGCTTTAACAGAAGAATCTTTGCGGCAGCTTCAAGAATTATGGTCTGAAATAGAATATGTTATAATAGATGAGATTTCTATAATCGGTCAAAATCCCCTAACTTAATTTCACACTTTTATGAAAAAATTAAAAGTGACAGACAATTCAGTTTCTTTTGCCGGAATTAATATCATGTTTGTTGGTGATTTTATGCAATTACTACCTGTATTAGATCTTGCTTTATATATGCCAGATAAGATTACCTGTCTTTCATCATGTAATCCCAAACTACCACGTCTACTACTACCTCTAGTATCCAGGATTCATCTAAATCCAAAAAAAAAAAGCGTAATATTGACCCTTTATTAATTAGCACCCGATCTGTTACTAATACCACTGGAAGAAACCTTTGGTTGAATGTTAAACATGTGATTTACCTGAAAAAACAAATGTGTCAGTTAGATGACCTCTTCTATACTACTATTCTAGAAAGTATACATAAAGGGAATCTTGTTAAAGAGCAAAAATCTGTTCTACGATCAAAAATTCTTAGTGATGATCGAATTAATTCAGCGGATTGAAGAGATGCTATCTTTCTTATAATAAGAAACGACCTTCATGTCCAACTTAATTTTGATGCCACAAGAGAGCATGCTTATTATAATAACCAGCCACTTATTTATTCTTGTGCGTGTGATTCTTATAACCAAACTGTTCTTATAGGAAATACTCGCCTAAAATTTTTATCAACACCTGATACAAAAGACAACGCACTTTGTAGTATATTACCTTTATCTATTAATATGAAAGTTGTTATAACTATCAATATTTGTGCATATGATAACCTGGCAAATGGTTTACAAGGAATTCTTCGAAAAATTGTATATGATAAAGACTCAATTAATCCTTTGCCTTGTAGTAAAAATGAGGTAATATTAAAAAGTCCACCAAAATATGTCGTCGTCGAACTAATAGGTAGAGTACTGGGTTCTTATCAAGACCTTCAACCCAATCATGTACCTATATACCTTGTTAAACATGCCTGCGTACGAACTATTTGGAAATGTGATAGGTCAAAAATTCAAAGAAGGTTTCAACAATTCCAGCTTCCTTTAACCCTGCATTTGCATTCACTGACTATAAATGCCAAGGAAGAACTCTTCACAAAGCAATCGTTGATATTACAGGCAGTAATACAAGCAATAGTCTATATGTAATGCTTTCTCGTGTTCAAAGATTAGATAATTTATTGATTCTACAGCTGTTTAACAAATCCATATTAGATATGCGGATTTCACCTGCACTTCGTGCTGAATTTAATAGACTTGATGAATGCATACAGAGAACTAATCAATTAAAAGAGTGGCCAGATATTTAAAAATCAACTTTTTTTTATTTTTAAGCATCAAATAGACCATTAAGTTCTTTTCTAGTTTAATGTATTTTATCTTCTATAATTCGTTTATGCTTTTTTATTTTTTAATATGATAGTATTGTCTATTCTTGTTAACATAATTATATTAAACTTTTAATAAATAACCCACATAATAATTTTTGTAATTTTTTATCTTTATTATCTTTAATCAAAAATTAATTAATTCAAATTATATCACTTTTTAATTAACAAATAATATTACCAAAACCGTAATCATACTTATGCTATTTTCTCCATTTATGCTATTTTTAACATGAGTATTACAAGCTCTTTAAAGTCATGAAATTCCTGGTATTCGATGAATTATTGGTATTAATAGAAAATGAGAATAAAGATAATTCAAAGAATGATTAGATTATTAATAATAATTATAATTCCTACAAATTCCATTATATATAAAATTAAATATAAAGGGATACTTTTCTCCCGTAATACATAATAACTCAGTTAAGCTTTAGCCATTAAAATTTGAATATAAATATTAGCTCTAGTAAGGGCTGTGACATATATTACGTAATATCATTTTATCAAGGGGGCTACCCCCCCCCCCCCACGTCATATATGATCATATATAAAATATATATATAATATCATCTCTAGATACCCCCCCCCCCCCTAGGATATTACGTAATATCTGTCACTGCCCTAATAATTTGTAAATGTTAACTATAATTTAATATACTAATATAAAGATTAGCCGATATATACCAATTCCCATCTTTCTATTTCTTTTATCAACAACCTCTTTCACCTTTCTTTTTTTAACAACAACCTCCTTCCTCTTACCTTTTTCATTAACAACCTCCTTTGCCTTACCTTTTTTATCAACAACCTCTTTCGTCTTGCCTTTTTTATCAACAATCTCCTTTGCCTTGCCTTTTCATCAACAACCTCTTTCGCCTTGCCTTTTGATTTTGAACGTGTAATATATATATAGTGTGTATTGCTAGGTCTAGCTATAATAGATATATAGTTACTATCCAGGCTATTGCCGTTGTTATCAGGAGGAGGGTTATTATCATTGTTTTTAGGAGGAGGGTTATTGCTATTGTTATTGGGAGTAGGGTTATTGTTATCATTATTTGGTGGAGGTTTTTGTTATCATTATCATTATTAGGTGAGGGTTTTCATTATAATTATCATTATCATTATTAGGTAGAGGGTTTTCATTATTGCTGTTGTTATCATTATCACTATGAGAAAGGTTATTTCTATCAGTAATGCAACCATTGAGGTTAGTTAGCATATAACCTTGATATAAGCCAAGATGGTACATTTGTGGGTAGAACTGCATTGTTGTTGCCTAGACCAGGGGCATTCATCTACCGTTATCTTGTGCTTTTTTTTTTTATGGCTAACATATTTTCAGCTGACTATAAAATATTTTTTAACTAGAGGTAAAAAAAAAAAAAATATCATACATATATATATAAAGGAAAAATATATATATATATATATATTAGTATTGCTAAAGAAAAAAAAAAAAGGACAGCTTTCAATTTAATTATTTATTAGATTTAGCCTTTATGTTACTATCAGGTTTTTTAAAGTTTAAAGCCTGAAGCCTTATTTCTTTTAGCAGCATTTAATATTAAATTCAGATCAATAAAATTTGTCTAGGTTCAAAAACAATTATTATACCAATATTTATATAGGCCTAGATCTTACCTTTCAGAATTGCCAGCCTTTATCTAATACTTTGACCACCCAGTTATTGTAGTCACTATCACAGTTTCTGTCCCTCCGCTCCCTATCAGCCTTTTTGGCATTAGTTTCAGAAATTTCTTTGCTATGATAATCTCAAAACAACAATGCTCAATGAATATGGCAATTGCTTGATCTTTGGATACATTATTTGGTAAATTTCCATATAATAAATAGCTTTTGTTTTTAGTAAATGTTTGAAGCCACTTTTTTGTCTTTGGATTTTCTAAAACAAATTAAAAATTAAAATAAAATAAAATAAAAATAAATAACAAAATAAATAAATAAAATTAAAATAAATAACAAATTAATAAATAAAATTAAATTAATAAGAAAATAAAATGAAAAAATAAAATAAATAAATTAAAATATTAATAATATTAATAATATTAAAATAATAATAAGAGTAAGATGTATAATATTGATATTTATATATATATGTTAATAATATACTTGTGATGCCCGAGTATTCTTTCTTTTTCTTTTTTTTTGGTATTTATGCCTCTCCGGCTACCTTTTTTCTAAATATATCTTATGTTGATATTTATAGTACTGCCAGATTATATATAGTGCTTGTTCATTACTAGCATGATAAGTGATATCATATATAATAACTAGGAGAAAGTTTGTGATGAAATTATCACTAAACTTATACCATTTTCTGGCAGAGTCTGGTCTATCTTCTTTATTCAGACCTTCAACTGCTAAAAGAATATTAGTCTATTATAATAAAAATATATATATATATATTAGATATTATATATATAAAACAAATCTATCAAAAACAAAAATAAGCCTGCTGATACTACTGTAATACATGCATAATTTATGTTAAACTAGTACTGTATTGTACAAATATAGAAATCTTGTTAATACTATATAATATTAATTTTGTATTATCTATAACAATACTGGTTTATAGATACTGCCTTATATTCTAGCAGGATCTGATGCTTATATTCAAACATAAAAACATACTTGAAATACTGCTATGATATCATTTTCACTGCTGATATCAATACTTCCATTATTGCTATTACTACTTTTGTTATCACTGCTACTAATATAAATTACCAAAACTAGAGGTTTTTTTTTTTTTTTTTTTTTAATATTAAAGGTGACTACTTAGGCCATTGGCATGAGCTTTATTTCGGATAGTTACG